AGGTACTGTGCTGGGCCCTAGGCAGTCAATTACAAGGGGTCTCTGACCTTGAGAAATTTGCCATGAAGTTGTGCAGAAGGTAAATCTATATGTAATTGTAACAGAAGGTGATAGATGAAACAGTGGAAGAAAAAGCAGGGTGATGTTGAAATACAGAAGAGGCACATGAAAGAGAGCTAGGAAAGTTACCTGGAGTAAATGGTTCCCCAAATGAGCTATGTTGGTTGGTGAGGCACTTAACTAGAGAATGCAAAATTCCAGGCAGATAAAACCCAGTACCAAGGGCACAGAGGCACAAAATGGAATGATGGACATTTGCCTGGGGTAGAGCAGCCAGGAACTCTAAGTAACTTTGCATTTTGGGAGACTAAATGAGAGTCAGTAGCAGAACACAAAGAACACTTCATGCTATCCTGCCATGTTATCCTGCCAGACGCTGCTAAGTGGTCTGGCTAGAGGAATAACCCAGATGGATCTGGGTGTTACATTCATTGCTCTGGCAACTAAAGACAAAACCACCATTCAGAAGGTGAAAGAGAGTACCAACCAGAAGCTACCCTTCCTAAATCTACATTGCCCAGGGTCACTGTGAGGAATACAACTATTCCCAGATGTCAGCTCTACAACTACAGTACTCTGGGTCTGACCTGGAATCACTGGACTCTGGGAACAGTCTGGAAACTCAGTGTGCCATTGAGCAACTCAAGGTCTCTAGAGCACAGACTGCCTTGGATAAGGTGGCTGTGCTGCTTGAGACTTTTGATAAGATCCAAGCAGGTAGATTTCCTCCTCCATTCATGTATACTCCTTAATTTAAGCTCTGGAGTAAAAACTGCTAATAAATACCAGAACAAATCAAGAGGTTACGTGCTAGTTATACTAGATTTAGACTGAAGCACCCTACTGGAGAAGAATCCTGGATACCACATTCTTCTGTTGTCTAAATTTTATATATGATGTTGCCTAACATTATATATAAAAGCACTGCACCAGGCAGGTAACAGAATGCTTTAGTAAATAAAACATCGTCATTCCATTTTGTCCATTGCACATTTCTTACCAGCCTTATGGGTGCTCCTGGGTTGCCTCAGGGGTGCCAGGGGCTGCAGCTGCAGCAGTCAGGAGTTTAGGTCAGATTTCAGCTCTGTGCTCCACTCTCTGTTTCTGCTCTGCATCTATCCCCAGCCTGAACACACACACATTGCAAAGAGCTAACGCATAAAGCTCCAAAAGAATGAATGCACAGCATTCCTTCCTGTTGGCTCAAGATCTCCCTCTTAGCTGCACATTTGGTCCTACTTCTCAGTCCTACTCTAAATTTTGCCTTCCTCACTGTTTTTCTAACATTCAAACAAAGAAAATGGCAATCTTTTCTATAAAATGTTTTCTTCCTATATTTGCCATAAATGTCATTTTCTCCATTTTCCCAGCCACTTTCATAAAATACAGCCTCTTATTTTAATTCCTATACACTCATTTTTCACTTTATAATAATATTTCTTACACTGTCATCCACATTAACTTATGCAATCTTTCAAGGCCCAGACCAAACTTCATACCTCCTTAAACTCTTATCTAGTATGCTCATGATGCAGGTGTACACCTGCAGTGTGGGCCAAATAAATCTCTAATGAACAAAAGCCACTTTGACATTCACAGACTGGTTGAACTTCTCAACCAGTATTTTTTTTATAAAGGTACAGAAAAAACCTTCAATGGCCTCTTATGATAGAGACTAAGGGCATTTTTCCAAATTTATTTAAAAAGAAAAGTCAAGCCAAAAGAGAACAGAAAAGCAGAAAAAAGGGAAGAAGGGTAGGGTGGGGGGGACTACCCAAAGTTAAAGAAATGGCTGAGTCAAAAATAGTACCAACTCTATTATGGCTTGTGTCTAGATGACCCGTCAAGCCTCACGTGGTCACGGGTGGGGCTTTTCAGAGAAGTGGAGATCTAGATGTGATGGGGATTAAGGATGTGACTAGGGACTGATTCATGGTACAATGCCAGGATTAACAGTGCCCCACCCTGGCTGTGAATGCTACCCACCTTAAAGGTGGGTAGCCCATAAAGAACACAAGGAACAAACTTTTCTTCATTTGCTGCCCTGTGTCTGCCATTAACTGTTTCTCCTCTGTAATAAATACCCTTCCTGCCACGCCACCCTGCCTTGGACGCAGCTATTGACTGAAACCAATATATGTTATGAGCTAAAATAAACCTTTCTTTCCTCCTTTAACTTTGGGTTTTAGTATCTTATCTCAGCAACAAGAATAGTAACTAAAACAAGTCCCTACTTCACATGCAATGTCTACACACCATTTCCTCTAAAAAAATTTGTTCTTATCATCAACTCATATTTTTTCCTTAAAAGGAAGGTGCTAGGAATCTGTCCCATGCTTCAAATGACCTAAAGTGTCTGAAAGTGCTGAAGTCACAGATACTGGATATGGAAATGAGTAATACAATTCTGGGACCACTATTTACACTCCCATCAATATGAAGAATACTGACTTGTGCCTGAATTAGGACATTCTAAAGCACTCCAGCAGCTGTGGAGAAAGCTTGCCTACAATAGAATTTTCCAGGACAGATGATCTACATATATGCCATGCTATTTTTTTTTAAGACGAGGTCTCACTACACAATTCAGGCTGGTCTTGAACTCCTTATGCAATCTAGGATAGCCTCGAACTCATGGTGATGCTTCTGCCTCCACCAAGTCTTGTGGGCTGGGATTAGACATGTGCCACCACAGCTGACGGTCATATCTTTAAGGGCAGTACACAATATCAACTAAATGACATCACAGTCACCCCAGAAGGAATGACTTTAATTACAGTATCATATATAAATAAATAAGCAAAAAAATATCCAGAAGCAAACGTGTTAGAATGATATAGCTCATCATTAGAATGGAATGCTCTCAAACTGACTATACATATATATATATGTGTGTATATATATATATACACACACACACACACACACTCTCTCTCTCTCTCTCTCTCTCTTTCTCTCTCCTGACAGTTAAAACTGAACATAAAAAATTCATAAACTTATGTACTAATCGCGTCTCCCAAGAATCCGCCATACCGAGTCTTGGGGAACCAACCAAGAAAGCAACCAGCCAGCTTTCCTGTAAGTGGCATGAGCCACACGCATGCACGCTGGAAAGAGAAAAATCAGCGTCTGCCGAGAGCCTACAGGCTGCGGGCTGAGAACAAACATCTAGTTCCGCGCCCCCCCCCCCAGCCCCCACCTTAGCAACAGGATGGTTCTGAGGGCAGCCTGAGTTGATAGCAACTAAGGTACACAAAGCAACTAAATGCTTGTATTGTTTGATTATGCATGCCTGGGGCCAGCGCTCTGAGCATCTCTTGGGAAGATAACTCTGCTATATAGCAAATATGAGGTATTTCCTTCTATCTTGTCTCTGAAACCCAATATTATTTTCACTATTTTGTTTTCTTCTGATTGTTTTGCTTTATCAATATTCTCTTTTTATTGGTTTTATTCTGTTTTGTTTTGGTTTGATTTTGCTATACTGATGGAATGGACAACTATTAATGAAAATATCAGGTTATTTGTCTTGATTGACTTTGTTCTGTCTTGTTTTGTTGTATTTTACTATCTTTAAAATTTAAAAAAATAAGCATATATACTATTATACAAATAAATCACCTATATTACAATCACAAAACAGAAATTTTTAATAGGTAAAGCTAGAAATAAGATTTCCCATACTCAGGAGACACTGGACATATCCCTTCCAGTTCACGACCCTATTTTTTGAGCCACTGTTTCAAGTAGATAAAAGTGCAAAGCCAAAGGTAATTACTTTAATTACCTGGAAAAACTCCAGAATTACTTTCTTCACCTTACTAAAGCAGATGTCCATAGAAAATCCATTAAAACTCTAGCAATAAAAAGTCAGAGAATGGGAAATACATAAAAAAAAATCTTGGATGCCTTAAACTGGATAGTGACAAGAAGCTACAGTGTGAACAACCCAGAGGCACAATTGATTTTGTTCCTTTTTTGATCTAAACCATGTCCCCTGTAATTGCTGTGATTTACAGGCTCAGTGCTTTAACGCATGTGCTGTTTCCGGCCTTCAGAAGGAACTGGGTAGTCATTAAAAAACCTGTCACATAAATAGTCACTCACCAGCTCACCTGGGAAGTGTAATGTGAGACAAGTTTTAAAGCATGGCAATTTTGTTTATTTTACTACCTGCACACTCCCTGAGCAAAGGGACTGGCTGGTAAATTTTCTGAACATTCAACCCTTAATTATTCACACCAGCAGATCAGAGAAGGGTTACAGAGAAGTCAGAAAGAATAATCAAAAAGTTTACAATAAGTTTTGATATGAAGAAGACAGGTATTCAGGTATAGCCAAGCATCTTCATGAGGATCACCAGCCTGAAATGGCAGAACCCTGTGGTCAGACCCATGTTCTCCAAGTCAGAAATCCAAGTGCTGGCTTGGTAACTCACTAGCTGTATCTCCTCAAGCAAGTTATTCAGCATCTTGAATTTCCCATTCCTTCATCTATAAGATGAGGACATCAATACCTCTGTTTAGGTTGTGGAAATGAAATGGTATAAGACATATAAGCACTCAACACAGTGCTTGGTAAATGTTGAATAGATGTATAGTATTTTAAGTGTTATGAGAGTTTAAAAACTGGGTAGGAACCAGCAGAAAAAAAAAGAGTGCAATTACAGTCAAGTATATTGCAGAATGATATAGAAGTCACTTTAAGGAACAACTACTGTTCGTCTAAAAATACCTAAAGAACACGCGTGTACCCTAACTGCATTTGTGGAACCACAGTTTCTCACCAGATACCTATTATAGGAAACCAAGGAGGAAACATTGCTTTTCTGCCTATTGGCAAGAGTTTCCTACCAAAGTTTCGCAAAACTCAGCGTCCTATATAATGGAGACCCCTGGGACTACTGAGACTAGTGGAGCCACAGAGCAGTCATACTTTACCTGTGCCCAGTGGTTTTTAAATACAATCATGCATGTTTCTGGGTCAACTCCCTGAAGGCTCACGGCCTGCTGGAGTCTGCTTTCTGTTGAAACTGATGACATCATAAACTTCAATGCTTCTAAGTCATATTTAGTTTTCATGAAAATGTGGTAAGTAGTCACTAACTTTCAAATATCAGAAATGTAACTTCTTCACTCTTCATGGTCACTTTCCAAAATCTGTAATGACAATAACAAAAAGTGTTTCTGATTATTAAGTTTAAATCAAAGAATAGACATCTTCAAATTATAATGCACAGAACTACCAAAGACATAACCATTTATACTCAATCTAAAGGCTCTCCTATTTTGTCTTACTTTGTGTAGTGCTGGATGTCCCCCCAGTGCCTCATGTGCTTATAGGTGGGGTTTTTCTAACATAGCTGGATCTAGGGCATGTGATGCCAGGGTTAAGGATGCACCACCATGGGTAAGTGCTAACCACCCGTTGGATGGGTAACCTGGAGGGAATACGGGGGACAGAATGAAGACTTGCTGACGTTGTTGCTTCAGTCTCTGCCACAGTTGCTACTTGCTGCCTTTTTCCTGCCTCATCGTACTGTGAACTGTTTCTCCTCTGCAATGCCCCTCTGCCTCTGCCCCTCTGCTATGCCACCCTGCCTTGGAGCCAGCCAACAATGGAATGAAACCTCTACAAACTGTGAACCAAATAAACTTTCCCTCCTTTAACTCTAAGTGTTAGGTATTTTGTTTCAGCAATGAGAGGAGTAACAAAGACACCTTGCTATTCAAAATATAAAATAATGACACATGGGGAAATAAACAATAATTGTGTTTCTTCACTGCCAACAACCATAAACCCACAAACTATTACTCTAAATTACTCAAGTAATTTCCATACTAAAAGAAGAAACTATTAATGATACCAATCTTTGTGGAGCTTAAAAACATCCTATAGCAGGATAATCAGGAGTTAGTAGCGATAAAAATAAATGATTTAATGCAACCTAGGGTAGTTACAACAATATCCAGACTCCTGGGCCCAAAATGGCTAATTTTTTAATTTAATAACCATCATAATGAAATTGAAACTGAAAGGGTTTTGGCCCAGACAGGACACTGTAGCCAGGAAAGCCTCAACTGGAAGCAGGAAGCCCCTATCTCCCCTGCCCCTAGGAAGTTACCTGTGACGCCATCTTCCCACCCCTGGAAATTTACATATGGCGCCAAACCTAGGACCAATGGGCTACCTGTGCATCCCTAATGCCAGCCTTAGGTTCCACCCCAAACCAAGGCTATTTACATACCCCCACGCCACGTGTCCGCCAGAGAGATCGCCAGACGCCAGCGGTGGGGGTGCTGGTCATCTCTCTCCGTGTTCTCAGAATAAAGGCCGCTTTTTATTTTATACTTCTCATCTTTTGGAAATATTTTTCATCTTTTGGAAATAATCTTAGCATTTGGTGCTGTGACTCCATCAGCAGGCAATTGACTCCTGGGACACACCCAGTTGAGTCCCCTAGCTGATAACCAGATAACATCCTGGATTAATTCCGAGCTTTTTCCTCTCCCGAGACATCCTTGTCGCTGCCTACACTCAGCATCGGCCAGATTGATTTCAGGTGAGCATTCCCCGGGGAACTTTTGGCACTGGGCAGCCCCAGTTGACTGTTCTCCCCGTTCACATGGGTCTATGCATTTTCACGTCTGTAGGACAGCCCAGTGCAGGGTTCTTTCTGGGCAAACCTGTGTCCATACTCTATAAAATCTCTCACGTTCTTTGGGTTCGGATAGCCCAAAGCAGAGATTTTTGGACTGTCCACACTGAAAGGACCGCCTCACTTCCCTTAAAGCCTCGTGCTTTCATGGGCAAAACTGTTACTGACCCCACGTGGGCTCCACTCGTAAATCTCTCAGTGACGACTGTAATATACGAGTTTTTGGAACCATAGCCGCCGTGTGGTGCCACAAACGAGTGATGGCTTGTTCTGGACCACTAGCTTATTTCTTACCTGAATCAGTCATGGGGAACGTATTTTCTAACTCCAAAAGACGCCTTTACAATGCCTAATTTCCAATTTATATACTCTAAAAATTAAAAGTACCATAAAAACTAAACAATTAACTTTTTACTGCCAGGAGGTCTGGCCAACCTACCCACTTATTGGCAAGCACTGGCCCAAGGAAGGAACATTTGACTCCTGCATTCTCAGGAATTTGTATGATTTCTATCAGACTGGCAACAAGTTATTAGAACTCCCTTATATTCAGGCCTTTCTTATTCTGAGAACACGCCCATCTCTCATTAAGTGTTGTGCTCCCACTCAGATACTTTTAGCTAACTCTACTGCGCTGCAAACTTTTCTGTCCTGCCCTCCAGTCTTTTCCCGGCCGCCACCTGCCTACCCCCAAACTCGTTCCCTGCCGTTACCTCCCGCTGAACTGCTCTCCCCTCCACCTATGCCTGATTCTCTCAGCAGTCGGTCCCAATGCGTCACAGTTACCTCCCGCTGTGCGATCATCTCCCCCTCCGTCTCCCAGGACCCATAACTCTCCCAGCAACTCTAATCCCTCTGTTAGTGCTTCCTCAAAGTCTCTGATTTCTTGTTCTCCTGAGTATTCTCTATCCCCTACAGCATTCCCACTGCCTGTCCACCATACTAGGTCTTGGTCACTATGTCCTTCCAGCAGGCTGCGTGATTGTTCCAGCTTGCACCGGAAACACTCGCCATGTTGCAACCCTCTGCCACATGGCATGGCGCCGCCATGTTCAAGAGGGTCACATGGTGACAGGGCGCCGCCATGTTCCCAGGACCCTCACTGTCAACAGGCGCCCCCTCGTGGCTCTTCTTGTGAACTGCAACAGCCACCCTGTTACAGTGCACATGACGCTTCATTGTGCTGTGGACAACAATCCTCTTGCTGCAAGGCACTCAGTGAAACGCCATCTGCCTGTGTTTCCCAGAATGACCGGCAGCAGCTCTGTAGCCACTCTTCAGATAATTCCTCACACGCGTCTACCAGGCGGATGGCTGTTCAGTGGCCCTCTACTCCTCATTCTTCTCCTCAAGCTCTGCTACCACTTCGGGAGCAAGCTGGTCCCAAGGGACTTGTTAACATCCATGTGCCTTTTTCCCTTTCTGATCTACCTCAGATTACCCATAAAGTAGGTAGCTTCTCTGTTGACCCACAGAATTATATCAGGCAATTTGAATTTATTACTAATTGTTATGATTTACATTTTAAGGACATTTATGTGATTCTAAATACCACTCTCAGCTCACAAGAACAGAATCAGCTGTGGCAAGCAGCTCAAAAAGAAGCTGATCACAGACATAAAGTAAACACTGCTGATAATGACCCTGGGCCTATAGCTGTGCCAGAGCAGGACAAGCATACTAACTATAACAAACTTTTAAAACAGGTCCAGGAGGCTAATAAAAATCCAGCTGTGTTCCTAAATTGGCTTTCTAATCCTCGTGCCCCACGAGCAGTTCCAGCTTCGTGTGCTGCATTGGGCCGCCTCCCAGCCCCTCCCCCATGTGCCGTCCCAGCCCCTCCCTCCCCCGTGCACCATCATCACTGTCACCTTACACATTTCCGGGGGCAGTCCCAGCCTGCCCCTACACGCTACGTCCCGGCGCTTGCCCCACCCCCACGCTGGGCGTGCTCTGCCAGCGTGCCACGAAATAGCGGTTCAGTGGCTCCACTCAGGCATGCTTTTTTTACAATTGGGCTCCGCTCAAGAGATGCTTTTTTTTTATCACAATTCTCAAACCATTTAATCAAAGTTACTGGCCACCTGATAATTTTACCAGCCTTGTTTATCAATCAAAGCCTTCACCAATCTCCTGTTTAACAACTAAGGTTATAAATTCCTTTTTGCTGGGAACCACTAGCCCTATTTCAAGACAACAGTTTTCTTCAAAGTTCTATTTTATTTGTCTTGGTTCATACTACTGCAAATAACTTAAAAAGTAAATGTGTTCAAAATTTGACAGTATTAGATCAGTTTTGATAGATTTATTCTTAAGATTGCTAAACCTTTACTGCAAAATATTTCCATTAAAGCCTTTTTAGACAGACTAAAGTCTTTTTTGTTAATTCCACACAACACCCTAAAAGCGATATGCCATCGAGATAAAGCCTGCTCTTTAATCTAAAATGCCAATATTAAATTCCTGCATACTTACTTAATTCTACTGTAGTCCAAATCCCAAACAAAAAGGCAAAACTTGACCTTCAAACCTTAGAGAGATCTTAACAAGGTTTTTCATATTTTTAACACTTGTGACACTTGCAGCTCTAAGGCAGGTAAACCTACAGAAGGTGGAGCTGCCTGGCCCCCCCATGGACCACGCTCAAATGCAGCAGGAAACATTGGACAACAAAGTGCCCCATCCTGGTGTTCTTTGAGACCTTATTCCAGGGCTGCTGCACTCTCCTAGCCTCCAGAATGTGGGTAAGCCATCCTAACTTCTAGCCCTCACAGGAAATGTCAACACTGCCAGATTCATCGCCGACAAAAATTGCTGCTGAAGACTGAGGGGGTTCAGGGCAGCAACAGCCCCCTTTAAGGTGTCTCAGAGTCCAAGTTGCACTAAACTCTCAGGTAAGACATTCTCTATATTTGTGGACATAGAGGCCATATGTATAGAAGTCTTCCTGAGTTTTCAGGCTGCTGTATTAAGCCCTCAATCTCTATGACGGGGTATTGATGGTCAACCTATGTCATTTATAAACAGGGCCTATTTCGTGCAGGTCCCAGTCCTAAATCTTAAAATGCTTTCACTCCCTTGTGTTTATACAACCTCACTTAGACACACTGAGGCCTCAACAGCTTCCACCTGTTGTCGCTGGTGGACCTCTCCTCAGTGATATAAGACCACCCCTTCCTTTCTTATTCACCAATTTATCAGACAACCCTGGTCAAGACTGACAGATACATTTTGTCTTCTCACTTTGTTTATACTTTTTCAGGATACATAAAAGCCTTTCCCACAACCAGGTAAACTGATACAACCAGGTTACAGCGACCCATACCTACCTGATATTCTCGGCTACCCCTACAGCGGTCAAAATTGCTGGACCCCCCTCCTGGTTTCACATCACTCAGGCTAAGAGGTGCCCTCCCAGCCCTAAATCTGATCATTCTGAATGGTCATCTCATCTTCTGTCGCCTACCCGTCTCCGTCTCACAAAGGCCTCGCAGCCACAGT